CGGTGTCAATGTTCCTGGATGTAGGGTGTAGGTGTTGAGCGGTTAGGCCGCCCACCCGTGGTTGCCCACCCTAAACCCTAACCCCTGAAGTTCCTGGGTGTATATAGAGGGCTTCGTACTCTTGGCTCCCGCCGCTACACCCTATGCAGTAAACCCACAAATCCCTACAAGCCTTTATACAATTAATATAGGGGTCGGAAACAGAAACTAATGCTATTCCCTTAGGGTCCCTTCGTCTAGTGGTTTAGGATTGTGGGCTTGAGGTGTTGAGGATTTAGGCTCAGGGATATACGGGGCTGCAGCAGGGTTTGGGGTATACGCGTGTTCAGGGGTTTAGGGTGTGCAGGCGTTTTCCTTTATAGGGGTTTAGGGCCTTTGGACCCTAAACCTAAACCCCAAACCATGATTGCTAGCACACTGAGCCCTGAAATAATTGTCACAAAGCTTTGACTCGGTGGCCCTGGCAAGCCCCTGAGCCCTAAACCCCCAAACTCCAAAGTCCCCCGCCAGGTTCAGGTTGAGGGTTGTGGTGTTTTCAGGACCCCCCCCCCCCCCCCCCCCCCAAGCCCTAAACCCTAAACCCTAAACCCTAAACCCTAAATCCTCCCAACCCTCCTCCCCCCCCCCCCTCACCGGCAAAAGATTGATGCCCGCTGAGGCCCATGGCTTGAGCATCGTCACATTCTTGTTGGGGAGCATCGTCTTGTTCGCCAAGCCTCGGCTCCCTAAACCCTGGACCCTGAGCTTTTAGGGATTGGGGGGGGAGGAACCCTAAACCCTAAATCTTGAACCCTGAACCTTAAACCCTAAACCTTATTCGGGGGGTTTGGGGCGGGGCGGGGGGAGTTTAGGGGGTTTCGGAGAGTTTAGGGCTTCCAGGCCCGGCAACGTAGGAAGAAGACAGGGTGCACGATCGTGTTTGGTTTTAAAGGGGCTTGTAGGGAGATCTCACTTCAAAGGGTACTGCTTGGAATCCCCTTTGACTTAGGAAGTACGGTTCTTAAGGCGGGTTATGGGGGCTATCATCGGTTTTGGAGATACTAAGTAGAGCCGACCGACCTGGCAACCCCAAGCCAAACACATGGGGGGGCCGGAGGGGGGGGTTTAGGGTTTAGGGTTTAGGGGTTCCTTATATGGTTTAGGAATATTCCGGGGGGGGGGGGGGGGGGGGGGGGGGTGCGCTGGGGAGGAGGTTGCTGTAGACTCGGGTCTTTAAGGGGACCTCGATTTACAACCAACCTGAAACCAGGTCCAGGAGTCTTCCTACCCCTTGCAACCCTTGCAATTCTTGCAACCCTTGCAAGCCTTACAAAAAAACCCTAAACCCAAAGCTCTAAACCCTTGCAACCCTAAACTCTATAACCCTAAAATCTGCAGCCTAGGACTTTCCACCTCGTGAAGGCGCCTCCTGAGAGCTTCATCGTCGCGCTGGCATTGAGGTAGCCACCTCCCAGACGGGCGCATAAGATCCCTGAAAAACCCAAACACCAGGGCTCGAATCCTCACACCCTGCAACCCTACTTGCGCCAAACCCTTAAAACCTCTTAACCCTAAACCCTAAACCCTAAACCTAAACCCTGAACCCTGAATCCTTGACCTTAATACATCAAACCAGGCAAAGGGGGGCCTGCATCTGCCAGCGTTGCCGTCGCTGCGGCTTTCAGAGCTGTAGCAGAGGCATTGCCCTGGAATTTTGAGCTCAGGGCTTAGGGTTTGGGATGTAAGGTTTAGGGTTTAGGGTTTAGGGCTTAGGGTTTAGGGTCTGGGGTCAAGACTTACAAAATGTAGGCCCGGGGTTTGGGGTTTAAGGTTTGGGGCCTAGGTTGAGGGACGCGCAAGGGCGCAGGGCACGAGAGTGCATGGTTTAGGGTTTAAAGTTTGATTCGGGCTTTTGAGGCCATGCTGCCTTAAACCCTGAACCTAGACGCGCCAAAAGGTTCAATGCGTTGGGGGGGTACATGCCTCCTTGGGGGAAGAAATTAATCCAAGTAGAAGGACAGGGGTCCATAAGCGTCAAAAGGATTTGGTAGTATAGGGCATGTGATCCCAATGGTAGGGTTCATGTGGTGGCCAAGATAAGAACGGGGCATCCTGAGTAAGACCTTGCCTCGTTGGCCTTTACTTCGTTTCGGGCAAGGCTGTTGAGCGATCTGTGTTCCAAACGATGTTATTGCGCTCAAGAGGCTTGAGGGGTATGACAGAAGGGCGTATGGGGCCGAAAAATAGATGTGGGGTTACCGGCTTAGAGCTTCTAGTAAAAGGTTTTCAGGGCTTAGAGTTTGAGGGTTTGAAGGCATGTTCGCTCGGCAACCAGAGGCGACAACCGCCCTAAATAAACCCTAAACCCTAAACCCTAAACCCTAAACCCTAAACCCTAAACCCTAAACCCTAAACCCTAAACCCTAAACCCTAAACCCTAAACCCTAAACCCTAAACCCTAAACCCAAACCCTTTGCGGACTTTGCACCTAGAAATCCCTGAACTAACTCTAAAACTCTTGGTTTCGGATCTGCTGGTGCAGGCCTTGAGCGTGGCCTGCAGTGCCTTTGGAGCCATGGCGCCCGCTGGGCTTGCGCTGGGATGGTTGAGGAACCCGCTGCTGTCCAGCAACAGCCCAGACCCTTCTGGGGTATAGGATTTAGGTCCTAAACGCTTAACCCTAAACCCCAAACCCTCAGCCCTAAACCTTAAACCCTAAACCCTAAACCCTAAACCGGCTGCCGGAGTTCAGAAGTGCTGAGCTTGGGTGTCTTGGCTTTGCACGCACTTGGCGCGCTTCTTGGGGGGCGTCTTGGGCTGCGGCTTAGGGTTTAGGGTGTAGGGTTTAGGGTTTGGGGTTTAGGGTTTAGGGTTTAGGGTTGAGGGTGTAGGGCTTAGAGGGTTGAGGACTGCAGGGTTTAGGGGTCAGGGGTTTTGGGGGCTCCGCGCTGACAAAGAGCTGGGGCGCTGTACGCCTCTTTGGCCAAGAGCCGGCGAGAGAAGGTCGAGCAGCAATCAACCCCCAACTTTCCTAAACCCGAAGCCCTGAACCCTAACCCCCCGAATCCTCGTAAAGTTCGGCCCTATAGGCCCCCAAACCCTACACCCCTGAAGCATGATAGCTTCATCAGTGTCAGGGTCAAGAGTAACCTCAAGGGTTTAGGGTTTAGGGCTCTTGGGGCTCCGAAGTCACTAAACCCTGTTCAAGCACTTGGAGGCTTTTTATAGGCGAAAAACGAGCTACTTTCGGGAGCACCCTTCGCATCGCACCCTTTGTGACATCATGACATGGACCCCCGCGGCCTACGAAGACAATCAAGGCCAGTACGAGGGGGTTTGTGCTGGCCAACTCTTTGACGTACCTGGCACCAAGCGCAGGGTCCGGCAGCTTGGAACTTGGCTTTCTCAAGGTTTAGGGTTACAGCGTTGTTCCCGAAATCCCTAAGTCCCTAGACCTTGAACAGGGTTGCTAAGACGAAAACGGAAAGTCTGCGCAACAGCTTCAGTCTTTTGGAAAACCTTAAACCAAGAATGCTACAAAAATGAAGAGTTCCCAAGCGATGCTTGCAGCCCGCCCATTCATCGCCACTCCTCTCCACATGCCCTAAACCCGAAACGTAAAGCCTAAACCCTAAAGCCCTATAAACCCTAAACCCCATCCTGAAGCACCAATCCCCTCAACCCTAACTACTAGTTTATGCACCCCGCAGGTTGATGCCTTTGGGATGGCATGCTAGTCAAAGCGGCTGCGAGGTTGCATAGAGGTATTTAGGGTTTTTGGCTTCGGAGTAGTGGGGAGTAGTAGAAACCTTGGGTTACATACCACCCTTGAAGCCCCTCCCTTGAGAACCCTATGACTATGACATCAGAAGCCTCAGTCCTACAGCATCCTTCGACCCAAGAATGCGCCTTCTTCCTTGAATCATCATGGGATCCCTATTACTAAGCCAAAACCCTAAACCCTTAATTCGCCCTAACTCAGTGACATTGGGGTCTGCGCAATCCTACTCCTTAAAACGCTATGTAGCTTGGTCCTTCTGGACCCCACTGCCCTGGTACCCCTCATATCATGAACCCAGAACACCCTTCTGAACCCATGCCCTACTTTGTTGTGGGCTCTTGCTTTCCATTGACATCCGTTATAGGATCCTTGAGGCCACCTACAAAGAAATAGGTTCGGGCTCTTTAGGGTTTAGGGTTTAGGGTTTAGGGTTTAGGGTTTAGGGTTTAGGGTTTAGGGTTTAGGGTTTAGGGTTTAGGGTTTAGGGTTTACCATCATCTCGCAACTCCTCCCGGCATTTTCCTTGCCATGGGACTCTCGGCGCGCAGGTTCGGCAGCCGATGCGTCGAATCACTTTGCGACGCATGCGGCAGGCGGGCTCCCTTCGGGAGACATCTGCCGCAGAGTAATTCCCTACACCCTAAACCCTAAACCCTAAACCCCAAACCCTAAACCCTAAACCCTACACACTCAAACGACTGAGGAGCCCAGGGCTGCCTCGGGTAGTTGGGGTGCAACGAGTCGATGGGAAAGCCTCTGACACTGCCCGTTGTCAGAGCTTGGCCTTAGGTGTGGCAACCACTGTAGGGTTTAGGGTTTAGGGTTTAGGGTTTAGGGTTGAGGGTTGAGGGTTGAGGGTTTAGGGTTTAGGGTTTAGGGTCCGGGGCTTCGGGACATGTATCCTTCTTGTGAAATAGGAATCAATTCAGGAGAATTGGGGTGGTTGGAAGCTTAGAATCGAGGTTGATTCAGCTTTTTGGGCTTCCCCCCCTCCCCCCCCACTTGGCGACCAAACCGCTTGAATCCAACCAGTAAGTTCTAATGTCAAATTTTAGGAGGTGGGGTTTAGGGTTCCCTCGAGAATGTGAGTGGGAGGGGGTGTATCTACCCCGAAGTCCACGTCACATTCCCTGGCCCTAGCCCTCTTTAGGGTTTAGGGTTTAGGGGTTTAGGGTTTAGGGTTTAGGGTTTGGATCACTAAACCTTATCCCGCGCAAGTGCCCCGCAAGGGCCGCGGCTATCATGCGATGGTGTGCCGAAAATCCTGCTGGCATCCGGGTCCAGGGCTTGGGCTTTGAGAACCCGAAACACGAAACCCTAAACCCTAAACCCGAAACCCTAAGCCCGAAACCCTAGCCCTAAACCCTAAGCCCTAATCCCTAAACCCTGAATAGCCTGCAGAAAGGCGTCAGGGCTTGGCTTCTCCACCAAGGCAACGAGCTTCGACCCTTCAGACGCCCAACCCTCGACCCCCCTGAGACCAAGAACGAACCCTGGATTAAGGAGGTTTGGGGAGTAGGGTTTAGGGTTTAGGGTTTAGGGCTAGGGTTTAGGGTTTAGGGTTTAGGGCTTAGGGCTTAGGGCTTGGATGTGAACCCCAGGGTTTCGAGGGTCGACAGTCTGGGGATGACCTGTCCCCTTTTTTGTATTAGGAGGTCCTCATGAAACTTCCTGATCCACCCCTATAGCTATACCCCAAACCCCAATCGCCCCCAAAGCCCCAAAGCCCTAAACCCTAAACCCTAAACCCTAAACCCTAAACCCCAAACCCTAAACCCTAAACCCTAAACCCTAAACCCCAAACCCTAAACCCTATAAACCCTAACCCCTAAACCCTAAACCCTCCCAAACCCTTAGCCCCAAACCCTGGCTCTAGGGAATCTAAGCAAGCAGGATGCCAGAAACTAGTTGACAGGTTTTGGGTTTAAGGTTTCAGGCCTTAGGGTTCTTGACTTGATACGTAGGGTTTGTAAGTTGGGTTCTGGGGATTGTTAAAGTGGTTCTAGGGGATACCAAGTAGACGTACCTAAGTCAGCAGGCCTGTCAAGTAGGGCCTAGGGTCTTAAGTTTTAGGGTTTAGGATTTAGGGTTGTGTTGTTTTGGGCCTTAGGGCTTTGGGGCTTAGGATTGAAGGCCGAAGGTTCAGAGGCTCGAAGGTCACAGTGACTAGTAGCAGCTTGTCGCAAAACGCGTGACTTACAAGCAAAATCAGCTACCCTGAACCCTAAGCCCCATCATATACCCCATAAAACCCCGTAAGGGCCCATGCTTCAGAACCCTTTAAAGAAGGTAAGGGGCCCTATTCAGCAACTATGTAGCTTCCTTTTTGAATCGGTGCCTCTTCCGGTTCCCAAACCCTAAACCCTAAACCCTAAACCCTAAACCCTAACCCCTAAACCCTAAACCCGAACTCCGAAGCTCAGAGTCCTCAGAATCCTCCCCACCAGCGATGCCAGTGAGCCAGGGCGATCCTGCTGAGTTCCAGCCGAAAATCCTAGAAACCCCGAAGCCCTGAAGCCCTGAAGCCCCGAAGCCCTGAAGCCCTGAAGCCCCTAAGCCCTGAAGCCCTAAAGTCCTAAAGTCCTAAAGCCCTGAAGCCCTGAAGATCTGAAGCCCTGAAGACCTAAAGTCCTAAAGCCCCCGTAACCCTAAACCCCTAACCGGCTGTCGAACCGACTATTCCAACCCCCGCCCCCCCCCCCCCCAAAAAAAAAAAAAAAGATAATAAAATGAATAAACCCTAACACATCTAAACAACCAAAACTTTAAATCCTTAACCCTAGACGCTAGACCCTAGACCCTGAAGGAGCTCCAGAGTTTTGGGGTTTTGGGGTTTTGGGTTTAGGGCTTCGGGTTTGGGATTTGGGGTTTGGGGCTTAGTTGATGTCAGTGCCAGCCGGTTCTTTGGTTTGACATGTTGAGGCTCCAGAGAGAATGAACGAGGAATCCATTCAGGGTTCGGAGGTTTGCGGTAGAACTCTGAACCTTTAGGGTTTAGGGTTTAGGGTTTAGGGTTTAGGGTTTAGGGTTTAGGGTTTAGGGTTTAGGGTTTAGGGTTCCCTAAACCCCTTACCCCCTCAATTCCTGCACCCCTAAGCCCTTGTGCTCTGCTTTCTGAGTTCGGAGTTCCCATGAACCCCTGAAACGGAGAAGCTTCTAAACTTAAAACCCACATCGCCCCATGGCCCTTTGCAAAGTCTCCTTCCCAAACACAACCATTCCAAAACACAACAGCCCTACTTTCGAACTCCGATAAACACACCCGAATGCCAATGGACTAGAAAATCCGGTACGTCCAACATGGTTTGATAGAAATTCTAAAGTCAAAAGCAACAAAACCCTTGCCTGGAGCCTCTTGCACTCTAGCCTGGCTGCGTCCACAGCCTCACATCCTTAGCCTTTGCAGTTTCCCATCGCTTGAATGCGTCTGGAATCAAGCCCTGCAAGGCCTTTCAATGCTGGGGGCACCTCTTTCCAATGAGCCGGATAATGCTGTTTTTTCGACTCCGGGAGCTGGGCGTCTCCCTCAAGCAGCTCGGCCATTGTGCACCCACACGCTGCATGGCTGCTTTGGGGCTTGAGGTCAAAGTCTTCCAAGCAAGCTGCGGTCATGCTGCCATCCGACCCGTGGATCAAAAGACTGCCTGCAAGCAGGGAATGTCTCGTTTGTCTGCAGGCTCTCCGCTCTCCGTCACCACATGCAACGCCCTTGACAAGTTGCAGCAAAGAGGAACTACCAGGCCCGGCGTGTGAGTAACGTAACGCAGAAGCTCAGGAGTGAGAATGGCTTATACTCTGAGTATACCCTAAACCCTAAACACTTGAACCCTAAACCCTAAACCCTAAACCCTAAGTCCTCTAGCGCTCAGGGTTAAGAGGCCTTCTTAACCCGAACCCTTGGACCCCCAAGCCCCTGAACAGGGAGCCCTCAGAATCACGCAACTGTGAGCAACAGGCTACTATGCCTGAACCCTAAACCCCAAACCCCAAACCCCAAACCCTAAACCCTAAACCCTAAACCCTAAACCCTAAACCCCAAACCCCAAACCCTAAACCCTAAACCCTAAACCCTAAACCCCAAACCCTAAACCCTACCCCCCAGACCCCTCCCCCCCCCCCCCGTAAGCCCTGACCAGAGACATCCGGGGCGAAGCTCTGGCCCTGGCGAGGAGACTCTTTGGTGTTTGGGCTTCATAGGGTTCAGGGTTTAGGGTTTAGGGTTAGGGTGTAGGGTTCAGGGTTTAGGGTTCAGGGTTCAGGGTTCAGGGTTTAGGGTTTAGGGTTAGGGTGTAGGGTTCAGGGTTTAGGGTGCAGGGTTCAGGGTTTAGGGTTCAGTCTTCAGGTTTCAGGGTTTGTTTGTCAGGGTTTAGGGTTTCATGGCTTTCGGGCCAATGGTTTAAGCCCTCTCAGCTTCTGTGCAGGGTGTCCCAGTGAACCCTACATCCTGAAAAACCGAAAAACCGACCATAGGCAGGACAAACACCCAAAGGCTTTGTGTTCAAGGGTTCAAGCGTTCTCCGGCCTTCTTCATGCCCTTCCGATCGGCCTGCGCTTGCTGTGGCGTCTTGGGACATAGGGTTTAAAGTTGAGGGGCTTAGGGGCTTAGGGGCTAAGGGTTTTAGGGCTCGGGGTTGTGGGGAGGGGTTCAGACCTTTAGGGTGACAAGCAGCTCCAAAGCACGCCAAGCCTCCAGATCACAAAAGCACCTAAGCCTTAACAAGAACACAGCGCAAACCCCAACACCTCCCAACAACAGCAGAAAGCGCCAACTTAGCACGCTGCATCCTCAACCCTAAACCCCAAAGCCCTAAAACCCCAAACCCAAACCCCCATACACCTCCAACATAGGGGTAGCTGCGGGCCGGTCCGGCCTTCCGCCTCTCGCTGTAGCGCGGCCCCATGCCGGGTTTGCCACCTGATAAATTTGGGGTGTAGGGCATCAGGGATTCGGGCATACTACTATTTGCTTACGAAGCCCCCCCCCCCCCCCCCCCCACCCCCCCCCCCCACCCCCACCCCCCACCCCCCCCCCCCACACCCCCCCCCCCCCCCCAAAAAAAAAAACATCTTCCTTAAGGATTGTTGTCTTTTTGTTTTGTTTGTTTTTTTTTTTTTTTTGGGGGGGGGGGGTTGAGCAAAAGGAGTAAAAGGCTTGCGGACTGGGGTATCTAGTGTGTTGGGGTTGTGGGTTGCGGTTTGGGGTTCAGGGCATTTGGGGTTAAAGTTTTGGGGTATGTAGGGTATAGCGGTTCGGGGTTTAGGGCATTGTGTTGTGAGCATTGGGGTTCTGGGGACCTTTCTTAGGGTTGAGGGCTTAGGGTTTAGGGTAGGGCTTGGGGGTTTTAGTAGTGCAGTGAGTACAGATACTAGAGAACCCTAAACCCTAAACCCTAAACCCCAAACCCTAAACCCTAAACAACACCGACATGTCGTTTACGGTTTTCAGGCTGATGGCTGGCTACGGGTCCTAGACTGCTGGTCCAAAGGGTCAGTTGTGGGCTTTAGAGTTGCCTTTTGGGTGCTTTAGGCTTACCGTGTACCCTTAAACCCTAAACCCGAAACCCTAAACCCTACACCCTAAACCCTAAACCCCAAACCCTAATCCCGCTTTGTGTGGGGCTTAAGCTTCACAATGTTCACAGTCGCTGGCGGCCGAGCAGCCCAGTGGCTTCAGGCGGTCAGCGCCCATGAAAGCCTTGTCTCTCAGTCGGCAGTTACGTGTTGTTTTTAAGGTTTGGGTTTGGGGTTTAGGGTTCAGAGTTTAAGGTTTAAAGTTTCAAGGTCTGAAGGGTCTTCAATTCGGGATCATGGTGGGTGATGGTGGGAATGGTGGAAACGTAGTGCCCCAAAAACCTAAACCCTAAGCCACCGATGGCACAAGCGCTCACTGTGGCTCCATGCAACCTACAGAGTCGGATCGATGTGATTGCATACCAAGAGTAACCTTAGGCCCTCAACAAGAAGGAAGTCGGGTCAAAATGTTAGGGTTGGCGGCTTGGGAAAAGGGAATCGCGCTAAACCCTAAACCAGATCAACCTTGGGGGTTTCAGTGTGGTGTGATACGTAGGGTTTAGGGTTTAGGGTTTAGGGTTTAGGGCTTAGGGGGTTTAGCTTCCCTCCTTAAAGGGCTATTTCGAGGTACTGAGGCATCGTTCCTCGGAGGGTCAAGTTCATGAGGAGTTTCTCCATTATCCCGTTGACGAGTTGTTTCTGCCTGCAGGCCCAAAACACCAAGCACAGCTACCCCACTCTGTTCTGTCAAACAAGCTGACCTGACAGCCAAGAACCCTGAGCTCTCTAGACCACCTAGAAGCAACCTGCATACCCTTCAAGAAACAACGTACCTTAAACATGCTCGAAACTTGAATCCGCTTCTTTTCAGTGTGTATAGGCTGGCCCTAAATTCCTAGCCTACGTGAACCCTAAACCCTAAACAGGAAACCCTGAACCCTCTGCCCGAAACCCTCCGCGTTGGGGTCTGGGGTAAACCCCAAGCCCTCACGAGAAGAACCCTGCCCAGTAGCATGCAGAACCCTGCACATCACAAACTTAGGTGTAGGGTTTAGTCTGAGGCCCAGGCCTTGAAACCGAAGCGCATGATGCGCAGCCGATTGTTCTGAGCCGCGTGAGGTCATGTTTAGGGTTTGGGGATTTAGGGTTTGGGGCTTCGGATTTGGCCCGAGTTAGCAACAAACCTCCTGGCCAGTGTCTGCGGGTAAATTTGTAAACTTCGGGTGGGTGTGGCTGTTGTATTCGTGGCGGGGGGGGGGGGGTCCTGGGGCATCCTCGTCAGCAACATCCTTCAACAATGCATGGCAGTGACATTGCCCTCAACTTTTCCTAAACCCTAAACTGGCCCTAAACCCTAAACCCTAAACCCTACACCTCAAACTTTGCAGACCCAGGTTCGATCGATGCATGTATCCCTGAACCAAAAGACCCGCCGAAGCCCACCAAATCAATCCCCAAGCCCCGAGATAACACGTGTGGGAAGAGGGTTCGGGTTTTGGGTGTTAAGGCTTTAGGGTTTTGGGTTTACGGTCTAGGGGCCCAAAACCAACAACCCCCACCTTGACGTAGATGTAGGCGCCCTGGTGCCAAAGATAGAGAGTTCTCCTGCCAGCTGCGAATTTAACTTTCGTGTTTAGACTACATGGGGTGCGGTGGAGGGGGCAATTTGTTCTCGCTCAATCACTCAATATGCACACACACACACAAAATTCCCAACGCGACTGTAGACATGAAACTCCATACCCCCTACTATGAACCATAACTCCAGAACCCCCTGCAGAAGCCCCTGAAGACAAAACCCCTCCACCAGAAAGCCTTCAAAAAGAAGCCCTACCCTATGCCCAAAAAGGAGCTCTCAACCATAACCCCCATACCCCCCAAAAGAGCCCTCAGCGATAACCCCTCTAAACCCTAAACCCTAAACCCTAAACCCAAAAAGAAGACCTGGGACAAGAACCTCTCTGCCCCAGAAACCCCTTTTAAAATTCCAGTCCTGACGATGGCCATGATCTCTTCCTGCCCAGGGCCGCTTTCAGGGGTTCAGGGTTTAGGGTTCGGGTTTAGGATTTAGGATTTAGGGTTTAGGGTTTAGGGTTTAGGGTTTAGGGTTTAGGGTTTAGGGTTTAGGGTTTAGGGTTTAGGGTTTAGGTTTTAGGGTTTAGGGTTTAGGGTTTAGGGTTTAGGGTTTAGGGTTTAGGGATCAAATGTTAACTTGAAGTTCATAAAGCCCGAAGATGGTAGGCCTGATATCACTTGATGAAGCTGTACATGTGAATTTACACAGAGATCTTGTTCTGAATTACAGTACAGTCCTTGATGAAGGGGTAGGGCTCTCTGGGAAGCCACACAAGCTATCAAACTTAGGGTTTAAGCCTAAACCCTAAACCCTAAACCCTAAACCCTAAACCCTAAACCCTAAAACCCAAAACCTGGGATTGAAGAGCTCTTCGGACCTTGAGGCCAGTTGCGCGAGCTTCGGGGACGCTGTGCAGGTGCCCCTCTCTTCAACATAGCTAGATATCACGGGCTCACATATTATGCTTGCGGGACTAAATGAGCCCCAGGAGGTTTAGGGTTTCGGGTTTTGGGTTTCGGGTTTAGGGGTCCACAAGGTAGTACAGGGCATAGGGCATGCGACCCAAGCTTCGGCCTGTGAACCATAAGCCTCGATCGCGATTGCAAAGAAAGCTCACCCCGAAGCCAAAGCCGCAAAACCCTAAACCCAACACCCTCAACCTTGGAACCCTAAACTGATCCCGAAGGTTGATGGCACTGTTCAAAGGAGAGGGCGCACCAACTGCGGCGAATCCGCACCCGAAGTTCGCCAAAACCCTCAACTTAGGGTTTCGGGCTTCAGGTTTCAGGGCCTTAAACCCTAAACCCTGAACCCTAAACCCTTCCCCCTTTTTGGCCGGCGCTTGCCTCCTGGACGAAGATCTTCCGGGGACGGCTCATGCGCAGCTGCTTTACGCTGCTGTTCTCGGCTTCCTCAAAACGATAGCGGAGGGGCCTGCTTGGAGGCTCATGGTACTTACTAACCAATTATAACGGTACTTATAACTGTACTTATAGCCATGTTAGGGCACTTAGCCGGGGGCGTAAAAGTTGGTTATAAGTGCAGTTGCAATTGGTTAATAAGAACCATGAACCTCCAAGTGGCTTTCAGGGTATAAGTTAAGAACCCAAACCTTTCTTCTTTGTAGGTTGCCGGGTACTTCTGTGAAGGACTTAATAGTAAGAACCTACAAAGTAGGATTTGGGTTCTGAAGGGCTGGACAAGGCCATGAAGGTTCATAAGGGTTCAGGATTTCAGCTTCCGAGAGGGGCTTAGCGGTCAATTTGGATCTCGGGTTGGGTTTAGTGCGGGAGCGGCCCGGAGAACCCACTTGTCATTGGGCACTCTCGGCATTCGACAGGGAGGCCTTAGCCTTACAACACGGGGGTTTAGGGTTTAGGGTTTAGGGTTTAGGGTTTAGGGTTTAGGGTTTAGGGTTTAGGGTTTAGGGTTTAAAATTTTTGCCTCAGGCCTGCGGGAGGACTCGATCTCTATCTATCTCTCGCTCTCTCTCCCCTTCAGCTCACTCAGCTGCCCTCCCTATTGACCCTAAACCCTTAACCCTAATCCAGCAAATGTGGGCAGTCTCGGTTTAGGCACAAGGGTTGGGGTGTGGGGTTCAGGGAGTGACTTCGGACTTCGGAGAATGAACTCTGAGAGGACCCAGGTTTTCAGTCTCTAGCACGCTCAGGGTTCAGGGCTTCGGGTTTGGGTTTAGGGTTGAGGGTTGAGGGTTGAGGGTTGAGGGTTGAGGGTTGAGGGTTGAGGGTTGAGGGTTGAGGGTTTGAGGGTTTAGGGTTTAGGGTTTAGGGTTTAGGGTTTAGGGTTTAGGGTTTAGGGTTTAGGGTTTAGGGGTAGGGTAGGGTTTAGGGTTTAGGGTTTAGGGTTTAGGGTTTAGGGTTTAGGGTTTAGGGTTTAGGGTTTAGGGTTTAGGGTTTAGGGTTTAGGGTTTAGGCTGGGTCTAGGGGCTTAGGGTTTAGGGTGCTGTGGGATCAACATGAAGGAACGAACTCTAAGGGCCAGGCAGCCGTGTTCAGGAAGTTCTCCACCTCCGCAGTATCCTTCAGCACCAATCGCATCTAGAGGCTAAAGCCAGGGTTCGGGATTCAGGGTTCAGGGTTCAGGGTTCAGGGTTTAGGGTTTAGGGTTTAGGGTTTAGGGTTTAGGGTTTTCGGGTTGGGGGTTTAGGGCTTGTTGCTTAGGACTTAAGGGCTAGAGATCGCTGTCTTTCTGCGTATACCCCCTCGACCGCAATCCATTAGCCCTGCCTCTGATCACCGGCCTTTCACCCATCACAATAGCCTCTAACCCCAAATGTTAGGTTTAGAGTTTAGGGTTTAGGGTCTAGGGAACCCAACTCCAAAGGCTTTCCTGATGCGCCAACGCGGAAGCTTTTGGGGGCTTTTCTGCTGGGGGCCGGGGACAAGGTTGGGCTATGACCGATTGTTGCCGTAGCGTCTCAGAATCCTAAACCCTAAACCCTAAAACCCTAAAACCCTAAACCCTAAACCCTAAACCCCCCACACTCTCAGACCATGAAAAACCATCTTGGGGACTGAGGGGCCATGTGCTAGGTAGGCTTTGGAAGGGTCCTGGGTGGGAGAGTCTGTTTTTCTGAGCTGACTTCTGAACCTTTTAGTCTCCTTTTTGTAGCTTCTACGAAAACCCAAAGAGTTAAAGTCCTAAGAGCCAGCCAGAAGAAAGCCAAGTTTTTTTGAATCCGGGATGAGCTTCTCAAGTCGGAACTGGGAAATCCAGGTGGGAGCGGGGGTTTCAACAACATTTGTCTGTCCGGGGGCCTTTCATACGCATGTTGGGGTCCCTTCGACGAAATGTCACCCTTACCTGTGGAAAACCCCCCCAAAAAGGGGCGCACCATCGAGGGGGCTAGTAGGAACCCAGAACCCAGAACCCAGAACCCAGAACCCAGAACCCAGAACCCTAAACCCTAAACCCTAGACCCTAAACTCAGTGATCGTATAAGGGGGAACGTCCCAGGCCACAACCTTGCCGCTCCTTGGCTTGCTGCAGGGTCTCCTCCCACTTCCGCACCTCAGGGTTGAGGGTAGGGTTTAGGGTTTAGGGTTTAGGGTTTAGGGTTTAGGGTTTAGGGTTTAGGGTTTAGGGTTTAGGGTTTAGGGTTTAGGGTTTAGGGTTTAGGGTTAGGTTTAGGGTTTAGGGTTTAGGGTTTAGGGTTTAGGGTTTAGGGTTTAGGGTTTAGGGTTTAGGGTTTAGGGTTTAGGGTTTAGGGTTTAGGGTTTAGGGTTTAGGGTTTAGGGTTTAGGGTTTAGGGTTTAGGGTTTAGGGTTTTAGTGTTTAGGGTTTAGGGTTTAGGGTTTAGGGTTTAGGGTTTAGGGTTTAGGGTTTAGGGTTTAGGGTTTAGGGTTTAGGGTTTAGGGTTTAGGGTTTAGGGTTTAGGGTTTAGCCCCCTTCTCCCCCATTCTCCCCACTTCTCCCCTCACTCCATTCACTAGATCTCCTCCTCCTCCTCCACCTCGTCCACGTAAATGGCCATGCCTCTCAGGCGGCGCTTCTTCAAAAGGCACCTGACTCTCCACCATGTTGAAGTGGAACTTTGCAGAGCTTGTGGCAGCCAAACACACACGGCTTTATGGAGCCGGGTCCACAACAGAGTACATGTAAGGGCACCTAGGGTTTGGGGTTTGGGGTTTGGGGTTTGGGGTTTGGGGTTTAGGGTTTAGGGTTTAGGGTCTTCGGGCTTAGGACTTAGGACTTAGGAGCGGAGTTTAGGCTACAGGACCGGATGTAGGATTAAGGGCCCTTGGCACATGTGAAAGGCTCTATTTCGCAGGGCTGTTGAGGGTTTGGAGTTTAGGGCTTAGGGTTTAGGGCTTCGGCCTTAGGATTTAGGATTGGACTTAGGATTTAAAACCGGAGTTAGGAGGCCCTTGGCAAACCCCTGTGAAAGGCATCACACGGCTACTGGGCATCCTCCCTACACCCTAAGCCCTAACCCCTCTGCCCAAAACCCTAAACCCTAAACCCTCAACCAAAAATGCGAAACGCCAAGCCCCAAGCCTATCCGAAAGATTTTTGTTGGAGGCTCCCGGCTTCTTTGAGTTGGCTCTGGTCTGGGCCAGAGGTTTGGGGGGTTTAGGGTTTAGGGTTTAGGGTTTAGGGTTTAGGGTTTAGGGTTTAGGGTTTAGGGGTTTAGGGTTTAGGGTTTAGGGTTTAGGTGGGTTTGGGGCTTAGGGTTTGAAGCTTAGGGTTTTTTTGTGTGTAGGAGGTTGATGGGTGGTTGGAACTGGTGTTGCAAGTAGGGTGGCGGGATAGCTGTAGTGAGCCGTTGCTTCTGACCCTATTGGAGCTCTTACAGCCCCACTTGCCACTAACCCAGTAGACCCTAAACCCGAAACCTGAAACCCGAAACCCTAAACCCTATAAACTACCAGCGTGTATAGACTCGGTCGAGAGGTAGATGAAACATGCAAGAGCCTCAAGCCTGCAACGTGGACCCTAAGCTACTACAACGCGAGCTAAAGGAGCCCGTTCTTAAGGGAGCCTGTGTAGTTCAAGGGGTTTAAGGTTTAGGGTTCAGGGTTCAGGGTTTAGGGTTTAGAGTTTAGGGTCTCCCACTCTGAGGTACCGACGCGTGCGACGAAGCTCCTGTCTGCAGCAGTGTGGGACGCATAGGCCCTGTCTGAGGCCGAGCCCTGAGCCAAAAAAAGGCCCCAGGCCCTGGTTCGACACATCCTCGCACTAAACCCCGCACCCCTAAACCACTAAGCTCCCTAAACCCTAAGCCCTAAACCCTTAACCCTAAACCTGCAAAAAAACCTTGAACATCAGTCTGGGCTCGGCATGGTTGCCATCTCCAAGTCAAACCGATCAGGTGATGAGCCAAGCAAAACAGAAGGCATGGCATTTGGGGCTTAGGGGTTTCAGGTTGAGCTTTGATGGTTGAGGATGTTTGGGGGTTTTGGGAGGCAGCCAGGGTTTACAAACCTATGAGCTTTTAGGGAGGGGGCTCTAGGGGTTTAAGGGACTAAGCGTCTGGGATGGGGCTGATCCCAAATTACCGGGCTTTTGGCACCCTTAACTCCAAGGAACGAAGCAAATACAGACCAAGGACCCAAAGAGTACCCAAACCTCTAGACTCTAAACCCTAACCCCTAAAACTTCAGGGCTTCGGGGCTTAGGGTTCCGGGTTTAGATTTAGTTTAAATATGGGAGCTTGCGGGTCTCCTCTGCATGCCAGCGATGTGATCGTAGAGCGCGATCTCGGCAATGTAGCGCGGCCTCAAGGCTCCACAAGATTTAGGGTTTAGGGTTTAGGGCGGAAACACGCTTTGCCAGGGCACATGTCTCTGCAGACCTACCCACAAAAAGACCGCCCACTCACAAATATGATGGAGTTAAGGCATTTTTCTGAACTGCTTACACAGCAACCCAGGTAATGTCGGCAAAAGCGTCATGATTGCTTGCTTTCGTAGCTGTATTGTTGGGCACGAGACTACTACCAATCCTAAAACACCGCAGTCCTATGTATGTCCCGGGGATGGTTTTGGCACTTCGGGTGTGGGGATTAGGTTTAGGGTTTAGGGTTTAGGGTTTAGGGTTTAGGGTTTAGGGTTTAGGGTTTAGGGTTTAGGGTTTAGGGTTTAGGGTTTAGGGTTTAGGGTTTAGGGGGGCATTCTTCTTGTGGATTTTTTGGGCCCTGAACTGTAAGCCCAAATCTTCCAAAGATCCACGGCTGGGTTTCGCGCAGAGGTTCCTCGACTTTCACCTTTTTTGCTTTGGGAATGAGGAGAGGGGTACTTGGAGGTTCAGGGTACTTAGTATCCCAGCTATAAGTGGTTTAGGGTTTAGGGTTTAGGGCTACTGGAGGTTCAGGGTACAGAGTAACCCACTAAGTGCAGTCATGACACACTTATCAGCCACTTAAGTACCCTAACGGGGTTCTGTTTGGTTTATAAGTGTAGCTATAATTGGGTTACTAAGGACCATGCACCTCCAAGTAGGGGTTTGGGACTCTGGGTGTGAGATTGGAGGCATTTGCGGGTATCAGTCGCGACTGTAGTAGGGATGGAAGAAGGACTGCGGTATGCGGGTAGCTAGGGCTAAATTCGAATGAGAAACATCACTACATTCCCCCCCACTCTGGGTCCATGTGATGGCGCCCATCCAATAACCAGGTAGCAATACAAGTTAGTTTATAAACCTCGTAGTTCCAACCAAGAACTCTGCAAGAAGAAAGCTCAACTGTTGGCTAAGTAGGGCGGTATCCCGAAACCCCACAAACCCGAAGCACTTTGAAGGGTTTAGGATTGGGGTCTCCCAAGTGTGGTCAGAAGGACACGTGTGCCAAACTAGTGGAATTGAACCTAACTTCGCAGCTACAGCTTCCAGTGGCATCTCGCGTAGAACACATAAGCCTCGAAAGGCCATGTGGACATCTAATCATTGGTCCAGACGACTCGCCACTCTTGGAGGAATAGTGGTGCGCACGGACACAGGCGCACATGATCGGGCCATACCCTGAGCAAGCACCTGACCCTATACGGCAAACGCCTAACACCTTACATCGCAGAAAGTTTGGGGCTCACGGCCTATTCAGGATGACTTTGTATACGCCAAGTGTATATGTACATATACATATGAGGAATGCTCCAAATCATGGGCCCTTGTGGGCAACCTCTATACAAGGCTCCGGACTATCCGAAGATCCCCCTTGGGCAACCTTTACCCTAAACCCGAAACGCAAGCCTGCTGTCATGGCTGGACTATCCTAGACCCAAGAGCAACCTAGGCGTGAACAGGGTGCCCTTTTTGCTTTACAGTGGCTTGTAGGGGAACCGAAACTTCAAAACAAATAAATTTAGGGGTTTAGGGGTTTAGGGTTTAGGGTTTAGGGTTTAGGGTTTAGGGTTTAGGGTTTAGGGTTTTATTTTACTTCGAACATCCCCACCCTCTCACACTGGGGTTGGGCACTCCAGCAACACTCTGGGGAGACTCTGGGGTTGGGCACTCCGGGGACACTCTGGGGTTGGGCACTCTAAAGAGAGTCTGGGGTTGGGCCTCTGGGGTTGGGCACTCCAGCGAAACTCTGGGGTTGAGCACTCCAAGGGAAATCTGGTGAAGGGGAGACTCTGGGGCTGGGCAGTGCGGGAACACACTGGTAGGGTTGGACACCCTGAGGAAACTCTGGGGTTGGGCCTCTAGATTTCTCTGGACTCCAGGGACACTCTAGAGATTCTGGAGCTAAACACTCCAGGGTTACTTTGGGGTTGGGCACTCCAAGGATGAGCGAGGAGTAGACCGGGCGAGGAGAAGAGTTGTGGGCGAGGAGAAGAATTCCGGGCGAGGAGAAGAGTTGAAATTAAAATCTAACAACCCCATCCCGAGGGCGGGGAAAAGAATAAGGGCCTACCCTGGGTCCTAGTATCTCAGCCTGAAGGCCCAGGAGAAGGGGGAGACAGCCAAGTGCCGCCGAGGGTCCACAAGAGCACGGGCACCGTCGCCAAAAGTAGCTCGAGCCTGGTCGAAGGTTGAGGAACTGTAGGGTTTAGGGTTTAGGGTTTAGGGGTGGAACCTTAGAGAATTTGAGGTTTAGAGTTTAAAAGACAAGCTTAGGTAAGTCTAAGGTGGGTTGTAGGATGCACGTCTTCTAAGATGATCAGATTCTTCTAATATGGCATTGTAACATGGCAATGAAGTAATGATAGTCTGTTATGTTATAAACTCATATGACAAGAATACCCTACCGCATTCTCGTATTACCAGATAGTATTTCACCATGCGTCCATTCTAATCATATATTCCGATGTTAGCTCTTGATGCTGCTAATTTGTCTGTTCTACTACCTCGAATTTTGCTATATGATATTCTTGACTTTCTATCAACTTATTCTATTCTTATGCTTCTCTTGTGATATTATACGATTACATTATTTCTACCTGTTATTCCCCCATTCTCTTTTTATACTATTGGGTCACTATCTTACTGTAGTAGTACAGCCGGCCCTGGGCGCAGGCTCGAGAGCAACGAGCTCACGATCAACACCGAAGCCAGCAGCTTCTCTGAATCCCTAACCCTGTACTTGGAAGCCCTTTTGACTTAGTAAGTATACTTCCTAAGTCAGGTGGGATTCTAGGGGATACCAAGTAGACTTTCTAAGTCAAGAGAGCTTCCAAGTAGAGTTTGGAGTTTAGGGATCCACGGCCTACTTCCTGAACTCCTCTCCCTAAACCCTAAACCCTAAACCCTACACCCTACAACCTACACGCTACACCCTAAACCCTAAACCCTAAACTAAGTCTAAGCCCCCAACCGGAAACTCTGAACCTTAAATCGCCGACCCCCAATGCCTGAAACCCTAATCCCTCAACCCCCCCCCCCCCCCCCCCCCCCCCCCTGAAAGCCTGAAGCCTAAACCCCTCACCCCTAAACCCTAAACCCTAAACCCTAAACGCTAAACCCTAAACCCTAAACCCTAAACCCAACACCTTGTCAAGTTTACCCCCCCCCCCCCCCCAACGCACAGAACCTGGGGCT